GGTGGTGATAAACTTTTTTTGGGGGGGAGGGGGGATGGACGCCTGCAGATTGCGCCGCTAGGGGGGAGGCGGGGGTGCCTGCGGGGCCTGTTTACGCAGACGACGGGAGGTAGGGTGGAGCCATAAGCAACCAGTGCCATCGTTTGTTGGTCTCACTGTAGGCAGACGTGGCCAGCCTCCTCCTCCTGCCGTCGGACCCAACAAAGACGACCATGTGCACGCGCAGCGGCCGCCATTCAACAGCGCCCGCCCACCTTCCTTTGCCTTCCCCGCCCACCCAGCAGGCGTCAGCAGGCTCCCCCGAGACGGCCCTCGCGTCTGCCGCCGCAAACGGCCACCGCGTCGCGGCCGCGCGCGCGAGGCGGCTGGCGCGACTGGAGGCGGACGCCATGTCGGGGGCGGCCTGCTTTGACGCCGATTACTACGCGGCAGTACACCCAGATTTGGGCATGCTGGCCGGCGACGCGGCAGCGCTGTACAGGTGAGACAGCCGCAAGTTCGTGTTGTGTGCGTGCGTGCGTGCGTGCGTGCGCGCGTACGTGCGTGCGTGCGTGCGTACAGCTTGAAGTGCCAGCCCGCACCTCAAAGCAGGCCAACGCCGTCTTCCTCTCCCTCCTGCTCGTCAATTTTGTCAGCACAGGCAAGGACCAGCTCCCGCGTCTGTTTCAACACCTGATCACACTCAAGCCGATACTGCTGGCTTGAGGTGCACATACGTCGCATTGCACCCACTTGCGCAGGCACTACGAGCTGCATGGAATGGCGGAGGGGCGGCGCCACAGGTGGCGGTGCGAGCCGCTGCGCGAGGCGCTGGTGGTAGCGCCGCTGCAGCGGGTTGTCCGCGCTCTTGCAGACGCAGATGCTGATGTGGCAGGTGCGTAAACAGGGTATTGAAGAGGGCCTTGGTCGTGAAGTGGGTCTGATTTTATGCTTGCATGTGTGTGTGTGTGTGTGTGTGTGTGTGTGTGCGCTCGCGTGGGGGAGAGGGGTAGGCAGGGTGAGATGGCAGGCACGGCAAGCACGAAGGAATGCGGGAGAGCGCCAGTGCTGCTGGCTCGTTTTCAGATCCAGGGCGGAGGACTGCGTTATGAGTCAGGCCCTGCCACCCAACAAGGCCGTTTGCAGGCCCCCTCACCTCCAGGGCCTGCAAGCAACGCTGCACGCACACACGCATTATGAAGCGGGTCGCTGTGCAATGAGAAAACTCGACACGTTTGTCGTCGGCCATTTCTGTCGGTGCTGCACGCCCTACCTTCTCCCTGGTGACGCTGCCCAGTGACCCCTCGCATGCCCGCGCCGCCCCACCTGCCCGCAGCGTGCGATGGCGAGCTGATGACACTATGGGCTGTCGCCGGGACACTGCCGGCTGTCTGCAAAGCGGGCGCCCTGGGCGCCGGCAGGAAGGCCCTTCAGGCACACGTGTAGAGGCTACGAGCAGCTAGCGGCATTAGGGTGATGGGATTCTCGTGTTTCCATGTGCTGTCGCCGATGAGCAGCAAGCGCTCCCTTAAACCACGTTAGTCAGATGCCAAAGCTCTGGTGTGTGTCCTGCACCGCATCACATCATGATTTGCCTGCAGCAAGGGGGAACTGGAACCGGGACAAAGGTGCTAATGGGAGATTTTGGCCCACCGCAAAGGGGGGTTGACGATGCACATCCCTAGCCCAAGCGGTCAGAGGAGGAGCCTGTCGGGTATGGCCAAGTCGGGAACAGCAAGAGGAAGAGCGTAGGACCCGTGGGCAGGAGAGACAAGCAATCTTCCTTCCAAGCGCAGCCAGCGGACAGAGCAGCGGCTAATCAGGTGGAAAGGCCGATCATAATGTGTGGTGGCACAGTCTAGCCTCTCAGCCTTGCATCATGAGACGCACCGCCGCCCAACGGCGTGCGGTCCTGAGGCTCCAAAATGCCTGTGTACGCAGGTAGGCAAGTGAAGTCTTAGATTGGTCGTGCGCACGAGGTGAAGTCATGCGTCTTTGAGGCTTCATCTTGGCGCCTGAATTCATGTTGGAGTGATGTGAGCAGCACCGCTGCCGTGTTCGCGTGCCTTTGCTCCTGGGCGTAGAGCCAGAGCACCGGCCGATGGATGAGGATCAGCCGCGTTCCCTGGGGCAGTAGGGGAAACGAGGCAGGGGCATGCAGTCTTGTTTCAGCACTGGGGGCGCGCAGGCCGTGAGACACAGCTGCCTTTTACTTTGCAGGAATGCAGATGCAGTTGAGCGCCGCTTGACGGCGCCACAAGCAACTGGCCAACCACATGCATTGCAGAGCATAAGCGCTGGAAATCCTGTGTCGCTCCAGTCGTGCAAGGTGCCCTGGCCACTGCCTCGGACGCATCCGGCAAGCGGCGCCTCAGTTGGCTGCTTCCCCTTTGGCATGGAAGTCGTGGGCCGTGGGTGGGGCCTGCAGCACACCTGCGACCCTGGCGGCGAGCCGCTGGGTGCTGCCAGCCATGCAGCAAGCCCCCGTTCTGCATTGTGTGTGACTGTGCTTCCACGCGCTTGCCCTTTGCCCAGATGCCACTACCGCCGGCCAAGCCCCCAGCAGGGCGTCTGGCTGCATGACGGTGTCCATGGCATGGACCCATCTGTCCACAACGATTTGCGTAAAGTGTACCCAAGTTGTTCGCATGCTTTGTAGGTCACCGGTTTGCATTGGCCAAGGCTTGGAAACATTACAGCGCTGCACAACGTCAACTTGCATGATGGGTGCAAGCGCATTTTCAGTGCTGGTGCATTAGTCAAGACGCCAGCATGGGCGGCGTCGCAATCGCCGTGCAGGTATTTGTCAAGTGTTGGCGGCGGGTCACGACACATTTGCAAAATGCACTTTGGGCACCTGGAGATAATAACAAGACTCGGGAGTGACAACAAATTATCAATTGGTTTTGTGCCTGCGCACCGGGCCGCTGCTGCATCATCACCTCAAATCAACCTGCCTCTTGCGTGGCTGCGCAGCTTGTCCAAAGGCCGGAGGTGTTTAAGACATCAACTCTGAGTCTCAACAAGCCGGTTTGCAGCTGATGCAGCCAGCCCAGGCTGGACTGGGCCAGGCCAGACCGCTGAGCTGACGCGCCCCGCCCCAGCTCCTATCCCAGCCAATTTGCCAGTCCCCCTAGCCCGGAGGAGCTCGGCCCCGCCTCAGGGGCGCCGTTGCCAGTGCCACCGCTGCTGCCGCTGCCGCTGCTGCTGCTGCCACCGCCGCCGCCGCCGCCGCCGACGTCACCGCTGCCGCCTATGGGCGCCGGTGCTGGGCTTTGGCAGTCGGCGTCCTCGCTGTCTGTGCGGCCGTCGCAGTCGTTGTCCAACCCGTCGTTGCAGCTGGTCTCGTTGCGCTCAGTCCACCTGAGAGGAGGGAATTTGAGATAGCGGTTGGGGCAGAAAGAGCAACTCACACCTTGAATTGGTGCCGTGCCGCCTGTGGAAGCTCTGCCGCTCCAAATGGCCGGCCGGCTCCCTGTGCGCCCCAGTGCCCGTCCGCCGTTCACCCCCCCCCCCTGATTGTTGGATCGACCTGCACACACGTGCGCGTCGTCCCCCGCCACCAACCTTTCCCAGTGCGCAAGGGACTGACGCCCTTTCCTCTTGGGCCAAACGACCGCAGCCATCGCAACAACCGCCTACCGCACCCTCACCACCCCCTCCCGCGCCGCCTCCGCCCCTGCTGACTCAGCGCCAGGCCCACCTGCAGATCCGGACCGTCGCCACGTCGCCAGGCCCGAATGACGGCACCCGAATTATCAGGCTCGAGTTCAGCCGCACCTCCCGCCACTGCTGGCCGGCGTCAATGCCCGCCTCCCAGCTGGAGAAGGGCTGGGGGTCGGAGGCGTCAACACTGTAAACGATGACGCGGTCCCCAAAGGCGCCCATCGTTTTGTCGATGCCCCAGTCATAGCCGATGCGCTTCCTGCGGGGTCCAGTGTGTGTGTGTGTG